AAGCACTTTTTAGGAATTTTCCAATGATACGTTGCAATTTCACACTTCGCGATGGCAATTTTTACCATTTTTTAAATACTTTTAAGATGGTGCAAAGCAAGGGACAAAGATATGATCCATTGAAGCTTTTTGAATTTCCACCCTGTACACTGTACAGTGTGTGCAATTTTAGTGGAGACTGCAGTGTAGCTCAGGTGCTTTTAAAGATAGAGACTTGATGTTGTCGCAGCCATTTTTTTTGTCAAACTTTTAATACCACAAACCGAAAACATAATTCTATAAAAAACATAGGTCCCTTTAATCAGGAAAAATAATGCAAAAATAATACAAAAAACTCACGTTAAAATGTACGGGGTGATGCACTTAAAAAATGCCAACTTTGGGTCAAATCTCAGAAACGGTGGTCCAAATTTTGTTATACTACGGCTCTGGATTCGACTTAACAATATCTAAAAAATGCAGTTTTGAACTTTTTTCTACTTTACAATTCAGAAACAAAGGTAGCTAGATTAATTCTGCTTGTGGTATTAAAAGTTTCACAAAAAAGTGGCACAGGGTCAAGAAAACCTAAGATACACTGCGGACTTAACCAAAACACCACATACCTCGGACACAATGTACTGTATTTTGTAAGGAAATTATTTATTCAACATAAAGTAACTAGTATGGCAACTAATTAAAAAAGCAAAATTGTGCTGTTATTAATTCGAGTTAAAAAAAATCAGAAATCAGACTATTTTCGCTTCTTCGTTACTGTACATGGTTTGTACTTTTTAAGTATAATTATGATCTTTGAGTAAAAGAAGTGAATTTTTTTTAGTAAATACAAAAAAATGAAGTTAAGATGAGTGCTCGTCCCCTAGATTAATGCTATCTAAGTTTTCTTTTCATATCATTTACATTGTGCTAAAGGTTTTAAAAATGATTTAGTAAACCTTACGAGTATGTTTCGCTTGTAAAAATTACAATGCTTGTTTTTAGAGTAAAAGTCGAGTCGCTCTATTATTTAATTCAAATACAATTACCAAAGCACCATTACCTGGTTAATTGGGGGAAAAAACACAAACTAGAGCAATGTTTGTTTCTTTGAAATATAAAGACCGCCAATCTAGATTTTTGTTTACAAAATCATCTTCTTTTTTGTCTTTATTTTTGAATAGGCTGCTCTACCAACCCAACCCGCTATGCATTTACAAATACCCATGCCCGAACGCGGATTCGAACCAGGGACCTTTAGTACCGCTGTCCAGCTTGAACTGAACTGTTCCCGTCCCCGTGGAAACTCGGAAACGTTCCCGTCATACGTCCAACCATTCTTCAAACTTGCATCGCAATTGGATGAACGGTTTAATAAGAGTTAAACAGACAGACAAACAGACAGATAAACATTCCTTTTATTTATATAGATAATAGCAGGCATAATGCCATTACAGTGTGCACATTTTAAATCCTTTGAGGTTTTATGAGTTCCGTTTCAGGACATGGTGGTCAAACTTGCATCGCCCCATGGCCCACTAATAGCTACAATTATTAGAATATGAATAGTAGGGATACGTTATCTTTCGCCTTCTTACGTGCCGGGTACAGTAGTGCGATAATCACACCGTGCGCATTTGAATCCTTGAGGACTTTTGTGTTGCAAAATCACACTGTGCACATTTTATATACCGTATTTGAAAGTGTATCGAAATTCTTTTGAATTTTGCTTTGTACTGGAACCAAGACGTAGGCAGGCGGGTTATGTGTAGATGACTAATGTAGAGTCAGTACTATGGCCCCATGGCCCACTAATAGCTACAATTATTAGAATATGAATAGTAGGGATACGTTATCTTTCGCCTTCTTACGTGCCGGGTACAGTAGTGCGATAATCACACCGTGCGCATTTGAATCCTTGAGGACTTTTGTGTTGCAAAATCACACTGTGCACATTTTATATACCGTATTTGAAAGTGTATCGAAATTCTTTTGAATTTTGCTTTGTACTGGAACCAAGACGTAGGCAGGCGGGTTATGTGTAGATGACTAATGTAGAGTCAGTACTATGGCCCCATGGCCCACTAATAGCTACAATTATTAGAATATGAATAGTAGGGATACGTTATCTTTCGCCTTCTTACGTGCCGGGTACAGTAGTGCGATAATCACACCGTGCGCATTTGAATCCTTGAGGACTTTTGTCTTAAGAGATATCGTTTCAGAATATGTTAAAGATTTTGTTCCAAAACTACAATGTGTGCACTTTAAATCTTTTGAAGTATTGCGTATTTTTAAGCGGGAAGCGGTTATTGGTCATTATGACACACTGCGTTGGAAATGATCAATAACCTATACCTTTCATTTGATGGTTTTTAATTGGACGGTTGGTAAGACTGAAACATTGATGATTTGACGGTTGTTGTCATTACCTTTATAATAACTTTCTTATTTTTTTCGTGTTTTTTTCCGGTATTTTAACAGCTATTTTGCTATTGGGGTCGGCGACCAATCCAACAAATCAAAGGTCATGAAAATCGCTAGCCGTTCTTGAGTTACAAGTGGTGCACGACACGACTGTGTTTTATTTGCAAAGATTTAGGCGAGATCGCAACCCAAACCTAGCAAAATCTATGACATACTGAAATCTCAAACTCTCAGACGCACTGACGGACAGAAGTAAAGGTTTTAGCAGTATGTTGTATTAAATTATGCAAAAAAGTTATGAGAGTTATGAGTTTCTAATTTTCACCGTCATGAAAAATTCATATAACTTGAGATTTTTCAAAAATACTAAAATGTGTACGTGTACTACAAAAATAAAGAGCCACCAAGGTTTCTCATTTCTGCTTAACGTTAGCCATTTCATAGGTTAGTTACTTATAGGTTCCTATAGGTAGCTTTTGGTACAATACTTTAGCCGAAATTGGCATTTTAACACTATTTATGTAACATTATAAACCGAAAACAAGGCTAAAAACATAATAAACAGAAACTAGGACGATTAACAATTAACAATTCCAAGATTTTTTTATCTTTTTATTATATAAAGAACTTTTGCAATTTTCATAAAACGCTTTTCGTCTATTATTCAAACACCTTTCGATATTTTGATTTTTGCTTTGTACCTTGCAAAAATTTGATTAATGTCACCTGGACATTAACAAAAATAAACTTGTAACAAATATAGCAAACGAGCTCCTGAGTCACACAAAATTCTATCAGTTCATCCTTGGGTGATGGTAAACATAATACTGAAAACAGGATTGTAAAATTCGAAACTATTTGTGAGTTACACGGTTTCGAATTTTCCGATTCCAACCAGGAACACATCAATAGGAAAATGCCACCCCAATATTGCTAAATGAGAATATAGTAAATATTAGGCAATTTTGATGCAGATCTAAGCTCGTTTTTGAAAATTTAAAATTTTCTTAGATTTTAGAAACAAAAAGGGATTATCAAACACAGAGACTTAATTACCTCAAAATTCTTTTGATTCGAGAACCAAATTCGTCTTATTTAAGGTGTTAAAATAGTCTGCACTGGCAAATGTGAAACTTCGAAGATAAATGGTGTGTAGACTTATATTTCAAGGGTTTTCGGTTAGAAGAGCTTAACAATTCCTCTGGCACAATTACCAATATAACTATTGACCAGTGAAAAGCAAACTAAAACAGATTGAAGGTGAAGATCAAGCAAAATAAATATAAATTCAAATCCTCTTAGTAATCAGTAATATCCTAGGCAGAGGCACCTGTTTTTTAAACAGTGATTGCACAAGTTGGTAATTCTCCTGTAACAAATTAACTACAGAAGCCAATTCAATTTAGAAGAAAAATATCGTCTAATTACTAATTAGAAAGTTACAAACGAAAATTACATTACCGACATAGCAGCTTGATAAGCAAACTTCAATTTAGTTAATTTTTGCGTTCTTTTTTGTCAACTCGAATTCAATTTTGCTATAACATTAAAATATGTAGTTTGCGTTACAATAATTGATCAGCAATTGAGCTTGAGTGAACGTGGGCAATTTTACGGTTTTTGGAACCTTGAACCATGAAGTTCAAGAGTTGAGATGACCAAAGGGGTAAGCTGCGCGAATACCGATAGGGGTGGTACCTTTTTAAGATATATTTGTGGTATAAGCGTGCAACAGTTGTTACAATCGATGAAATAAGCAAAATATATTAGAGAGGTCATTTTTTAATGGGTCATTACGAAAATTCTTAATTACTGCAGGTAAATGGCTACAGGTTTTTTAGCGCTAAAAAGTCAATTGTTTCTTTCGCATTACGTAATATCTGATTATAACACATGTGCATTTAAGTGATGTGGGATGATATCGTTAAATAAGGGTTAATGCAATGTGTGAATTGAGTGTGTACGCCGCGTACGAAGAGTATTACTTAATGTACTTAGTATTTGAACACGTGTCCTCTTACCAAAGTCCAATCACACGGCTAGTAAAATATGAAAAACAGTCAAGGATGTGGCTTTCATTAAGAGTATGATTAGTGTTTTTTAAGGTGCAAATAATAAACAAAACAAACACTCCCACTCAAGGACAATTACCTAGTAATAATTTTTCTTGAAGCCAATAGCTACAGTAATTTAAGGAAAAGTGTAATTTACTGTCACCGCCACATTGTTAATTAAGAAATTGTTACAATTAATTGACGGTATCTCGTATAAGTCACTCACTAATAGTCGGTATACTTCCACTAAAGGGATGAATGCGTTTCGAGCGCGAACATAATTTATACTAGGCAAAATTACGAAATTGCAGATCTTACGCACTGTTTATCCACTTCCAGAGAAAAGTTATCTTACGCAAATATTGTGCGCTTTAACTTTCGCAAAAACAAATTTCGTAGAGAAATTAATACCGGTTATATGAAACTAGGGGTGGTGCGAGCGTAAACAAAATTTGCATTTCAAATCAATGCACTTGTCACTGCGGGTTAAAAAATTACCCCCATTTTTTTTACAAAAATCTTACAACCAAAATTTACACTTACACAATTGCAACAGGTCGACAACGAAGATGTGTCACAAAAGTTCGTGTTTAATAAAATATACATTAGCACAATAACAAAACGAAACGGGACGAATTTTTTCCAAAAAATTGACAACTGTTGCATAAATTTAAATTTACGAAAAAAAATTTAGGGCCGCCAGATTACTTAGTTGCAGGCGAACTGAATGCGACTGAATGCTATCGATGACTAAATGCACGCACTCCGGCGCACTTTTTTACGCAGAACATTTCATCAAAACGCCCGCACGAATTCTGAAAAATATTTGAACGAAACCCTATGCTAGTGGGGGGTGAATAGCAAGCACACGCAACAAGCGGGGGTGCAGAGTTGTCGCGAATGGGGGAGGGGGGATTAAATACATACTCGCGGGGTAAGGTGTCTCGGCTAAGATATAGTAGAACAAGGAAAGGGTGCGTAAAAAATAGACATCGTCCTTCTCTAGTTTCCCTACTTCGGCGCATTTCCAGCACTTATATATAATTCACACGCTGTAATTAACTTCGCTATTTCAAGTTGATTTTAACCGAAGTTACATTTTGAAATTATTTACGTGAAATATTCAAACCACAATCAATTTCCCCCTCGAAAATGCAATGCCTAATTTGCGTGCTGTGTAATCATCCAAGTGATCCACTGCACTTGTTAATTAAATACAATTATCTTGGACAATGGTATCTACAGCTTGAATAAATAATAACATATTGATGTATCAAAATTCACTTTACAGCAAATATTAAGTTTTCAAATCTAAAATACGGCCTTCTTAACGTTAAAAACGTATGACGTGTGCCGCACGTAAATGATACATTTACAGGTGAATTCCGCCAGCAATTTCCTCCAATATTGAATGAAAAATCAATCCCAAAGTAGTTTAGCAATTGTAGGTGACAAAAATCAATCTGTTCTGTTGCACTCACGAGGTACTTAACAGATTGTTGGGGTAACACCACTTGCGGCAAATATAACAATTCAACTTTATAACGAAGTATGTACAAGTCGCAAATTAAAATTTCAAAATTTTACAAGAGTGACATGAAACGCCTCCATTTCAAATACGTAGAAAATGCGCCAATCTTAATATCCCTAAGTTGCGAGTGGAATATTTATTTAGGAATGTCATTTGCACAATGCCAGATTATTACCTGAGCAGGTCGTAAGAGGTGAATAAGTTTAAGGGTGTGATAGAAATTCAACCGCGTGTGATAATGGTAAAGCACGAAATATTGCTTATTCTTGATAATAAATCATGGCCATGGCAGTTCAAATTACGCAAACTAAACAGCCCTACACTGAATCTGCAATATCAATGTCTTGCAAACTGGGAATAAGCGAGCGAAAAAGGTTAAAGGAAAAATTTGTACCAAAATTGTAGGTTCTAATAGCATTCCAGTAAAAAGTAGCGTAGGAAAGAATGCAAAAAAATGCAGATAGTATCTTAGAAAATGAAGATTTTGAATTTGAACATCTCACTCTGTAATTTAGTGTAAAGAAAACAAGCTCTAGAAAATATAGTGCGTGCAGATGCTGATGAACTTCATTAAATTTCGGCTTAGAGTTTTCAAATTATGTTATATACCTATGCAGGTGAAGAGGTTGATTGACGAAAACGAACTCTCTAATCAATCGCCGTCTTTCATATATACTCACGATCAAAGTGCGTCACAATCAAAGATAAATAAATGTGTGCTCCCTCCCTTCAATCACCCTATTGACATAAAAAAGTGAAAGAATACAAAAAATCCAAAGTATCGAGTAATCTAAAGCATCTGAAAAACTTGTGGGAACTGGAAGAATCACCAATAGACATGGCTCGAGGAGGAGGACTGTGTTTCGTAGTAATGAATTTCTCCCGTTGAGACCTTTCATTAGAGAATCATGAAGGAGGATAAAACCAACCCCAGCCCCCCCCATTTTGGTAAGAGATAAGAGAGAAGGGCAGTATAAAACATTTCCTTTCGATAAGACCTTTAATTAGAATACCTTGAAAGATAACCCCCGCCACCCAGAATCTCGAAAAAAATCCACGGAGGAAATCCCCTGAAAGTATAGTTGAGAACCTTAGAAGTGGGTCCGGGTAGGGGAACAGACGGACAGACGAAACGCAAACAATAGCATTTTCTTAATAAAAAATTATCAAAGTCCTCGTATCACGTGTGAGATCGAAGGGACTTCAGCGCATTTTTGTGTGGCAGATCAGTATTCTATTAGCCACTTTCGACTCAACCATCAATAACAGATCTTGTCGAAGGCTATTACATTCACTAACCGTTTCCCACTTTCCGCGTGCACCCGCAATTCGCTTTTAAAGTTAAAATCGGGTCGGGGGCTACCACATTCCCTTTGACGGTAGCCACTTCCGACGTCCCGTTCACCCGCTATTCACTTCTATTGGCGACACGAGAAAGAGAGACAGCGATTCGAGATTTACGAAACTTTAAACCGCGTGAGTTCGCAACGGAAGGTAAAAGGCGCCCGAAGTTGACTTCTCGGAGACGCGCGCGCGCGCCTCGCAAAAGGTCGTTAATTTCGCCCCTAGGACAAAAAACAAAATTCCGCCATGCAGGAGTTGTGCGCGTTTACAACATCTTTCCGCCGACACCAATTTGAAAAGAATCGGACCAAAACTGTAATAGAAGATAGGAAAAAACTGAAAAACCTTCACGTTAGTATACTACGCTCGAGGATGACGCCCAGATGTCGCCAACCCCACATCATGTAGCCATGTCCCTAAGGTTGACAAATTTCGCGGCCTTGTATAGATACACGTACACTCGTTACCTTTATACAAGAGTTCTTCTACGCGCCCACATTTGCAGCCAGCCAGCCAGCCAAAGTGAGATTAAAAGCTACTTTTTACAAATAAATTTGCAAAAATGCGCTAAAAATGCGTTAAAAATCTAAAGTGCAAAAGATCAGAAAAGAACCTAAACAAAACTAACGGATCGAGAAAAAAACCTCGTAGTCTGAAGAATCCGAGGCATCCAAAGTATTCAAAGAATCTGTAAATGCCGAAGAGTCGGGAGCATTTGATAAAACGGAAAAGATTGGTATATTTGAAGAACCTAAAGGATCGTTCTAAGCATCGAAGAAATTTAAGAAGCTGGCACGACAAATTTATGGATTGAGAAAATGAAACAATTTAAGAAATTGGAGTAACTCGGAGAATCATACAAATTTTAATAAATTCCAAGAAACTAAATGAAGAAAGAAGAGAGAAGATCTTAAGGATCACAAAGATCTGATGGATCACTAGAATTTAGGATTTAAAAGAACTGGAAAATTTAGATGAACGAGACCGAATTAAAGAATGCCAAGTATCAGGACCAGAAAAATAAGTTAAGGATCCGATAAAATGAAAAATTCTTTAATAATTCGAACGAGCTGGTAGCTGATGAAGCTGAAGAAACAGAAAATTGAACTAATCTAAGGGATAAAGGAATCGAAGTCGAAAGAAGTCTATGTACCGGACGGACCCACGGCGAGGAACTTGGAATAATTGGAAGAAATAGAAGGATCCGAATAGAATGTGAAGCTTTAACAATTCGAATGATTTCGAAAAAAAGTAATACGAATCCGGAACATCTTAAAAATGTGATGGTTCAGATGAATCTATAGGAAACTAAAAATAAATATAAGAATTGATAAGAACCGATGAAATGAGCTTATAGTTGCAGGTGAGGAAATTAGCGGCAATGACGAGTATTAGAACTTGGTGCTTATGTTAGTAAGCAACAGTATCGATCTGTTGTAGAGATAATATGTACAAATATGAAACAAGATACGAAGAATCGCATACGATTTTCAATAGGGAAATTTTTTGCCACTCGGCTCGCATTCGGAAACCAGACTTTTACTCCGGCTCGTATTCAATGGCACAGACGGACAAAACAATCACACATTAAAAAAGGTTTTCGCCTTTTAGGGCGAGTAACTTTAGCGCATTTTTCGTGAATTGATCAGTACCGAAAGGTCATTTATGTGTATAAAGGAAAATAAGTTATACCATAAACATTCTTATAAATTATGTTTAAAATATGCGATACTTTTGCGTTTACTAGAAGAATCTTATGTTAAAAAAATCTCTATATTGCGCAGTTTGCGAATGTTTGATTTTTAGAATATGCGATATGCTTGTCTTTGCTAGAAGCAGCTGTGGTTTAAATTTCAAAAAATGTCTCTATAAAAAGGAAGTTCACATTGTGTATTTTGCGCATGCGCTCATCTGATTTTTGCAATATTTATTTATTGATTATGCTAACTTTTACTAGAAGCATATGTGGTAAAAATTTTAAAACATCTCCATAAATAAGAAAGATGACATTGAGCAGTTTGCGCATGCGCACATCTGATTTTTACAATATGCGATATGCATGCATTTACTGGAAGCATCTGTGGTTAAAATTTGGGAGCCTTAGTAGCATCGATCAACTGAATATTTTAAAGAAGTACACAAATTTTCATTAACACCTAGCATAATTCTTGGGCACGGAACGAAACATCTAACATGAAAACTCTATACGGATTGCATAATGGATTCAAATAAACACACAATTAATTGACAAAAATTTATTCCAAAACCCCTGAAAGAATTACAACAAAATTCCCGAAAGAAAGAAGTAACAAAGTTTATTTGGACATATTACCCCGCACGCAAGTAGTTAACAATTAAAATAAGAAAAATCTTAAATTACTTACAGTTTATAATCCAAATAATCTAGTCGTACAAGGTTTGCGAGGCGCACTTAACTCACATACCGAGTACAAACGCTGACAGCTTCTGAACTTCACTTTGTTTTATAACACAGAATTAGATGACAAACATTTTTTTTAGAAGCTGTTCGGACGGTAGAAACTTTTAACTTTTAATAAGAACAGAACTGAGCACTACAAGTTAACTTACTTCTGCACACGAACTGCATCTTCAATTAAACAAATAGGGCTCACTGCCTGAGAATTTAGCGTAAACACAATTTATACGGTCTTCAACCGTTGCGAAACTAGCAGAAGCCTCGTTTTCTCGTTGTCGCCAGTATTTAACGAAACAACACTTCCATCATAGAATGGTCCTTCTTTAAGAATTTTCAAATAAATCGCCAATCACAGTGAAACGCACCAAACGTCCACATTTCCGCCGACATGAAACACACAATTTTTCAAAACACCTGCATCTCCTCTTATCGGCAAAAGAACACGTGCGTTAATTAGATTTCGCCTAACAATGAAACGAATTATTTTG